TAAATTTATACTAAGTAGAAATATTTAAAATTTCTTATATGCTCATTATGGATAAGAGAATGCAGTTTGTGAGAAATTTCCCTGAATATAATGGAATTCTATTTGAGGATGTTATACACGAAACTGTATAGAATGTCCTCAAACATTAAAATTGCAGAAAGTATATAATTGCAATCAGTGTGAAGTATTTTATGAGTATTGAAGCATAGATTTGTTGGTATGTATTAGTACATAATCTTAATAATATTGTGTGAGTGAGTTTGGATGTGCACTATGATACAATATGTATAATCTATATATATAACCCATTCAGTGTCCGTCTGTCCCGTAACCGTTTGATAACGGACACTAGAGGCGCCCCTATCGTGTGTCATATTTCAAACATTCAAATTAACAATTTTAATTCTTATTTAAATTAACAATATGAATTATTATTATTCATTTGGCCCATAAATTATTATTTCGTCAATATAACAATATAAATAATTCAGTATATTTGTAATAGGAATTTATTATTTCAGGGGCTTATATCTCGCGAAGGATCGCGAGTAGGGGTATGATTCCTTTGACTTTATTGTTCGCACAGGGGCTACAGTTTGGGGGGGTTTACCCACCTCTTCATTCGGTGGGTAAATCTTACCATTGGGACTTTAACAGAGCTGTACAGCATATTGATAGGAACAAAAAAGTCAAAGGAACCGTGCTTCATGGAAATTTGTAAAGAACGCCCACTAGGGGGCGTCCCGGGCTACTAGTATAGAATATATACATGTGTGTATGCATGTCTAAAGTATAATATTTAGTGCAGTTAGCGCTAACAGAAAATATTTTTAACATTACAAATACAGTATACTGAATATACATATTTCATTTTTTGTGATTCTAAAAAATAATTTAAGATATTCTATTATATATATATTCATACAATTACTTGCATAAAAAGTTGGATAGTTTAAACAATAATTTATTATTATTTTTTTCTTTTTGATAAGATCAAATTGTTCTTCTGGATAAAAATATCTTCTTTATTGTGTACTCTCTTCTACAGACTTAAGTCGTTAGATTGTAACATTTATCCTCAAAACTTACATCATTATATGATACTTATCTTCAAAAAAAATATATAAGAGAGGGTGGAGTTAGAGCTGTGATATATGAAGGGAAAAAAGGCTAAAATGTCATTTGATACAGAATTTGTAACATAGATAAATTAATAGAAAACCACCCCAAAAAAACAAAAAAAAAAAAAATTATGATAAAATGAAGCAACTGTTAGAGTTCAAAGTATTTTATTTTTGTAATTTCTTTATCCTCCCCTCAGTTAAACTCGATCATGTAAAAGTAATAATGACTTTTTGGAATTTGATATATTCGTTTGATCATACTATTGGAATGCAAAAGGAGGAAACAAATAATAAAATAAAAGAACTTAAATTAGATGAACAAACGATCAATGATATTAAACAAATAGAAGATAAATTTAACTGAAATTTTGCAATATAGAATAATAAATACAGAAATTTCATTGATTCGTACATAAGTAAAAATTTGAAAATTTCATCAATGAGTAATTTTATTCTTAAGAAAATAACAACTCTAATTTATTTACTTTATTTGTATTTTTAATATATAAAATTGATAAATTCATTATGAAATTTGTTCTAAAAGTATTGTACTGTGCTGAATTTTTAAAAGTTTTTGTCAATAAGATTAATTTTAAATAAGTACATAGGAAAAATACTTTTATACCAGCATGCATGTTTATTCGTAAAGAGCATTTTCAATTTAGTTAGATCCTCCTTAGGCTCTTTGCCATGATAATAAAATACAATAACATAGAATACGAACAATTATTTATTGTAACGACATCACAATGCAGGGCTGCAATCTTTAATCATCTATTAATTTTCGGAGTCCTCCGACTATTACGCTTTCCATGGCTGCATATACTTTTGGAATCAAACTGATCCAAACTTACTTTGATCGTTGAAATCGTGTATACAAACGAACTATAGCGATCTGATCAATCCCTATCCGCATAAACAAACGCCAACTAGGATCAACTGGATTGCGATAAAATTCTGATCCGAGCGGAGAGTAAAATAGTTTGGATCGGATAAAAATGATTAAAGATGGCTTAAAGCCAAGCTTACAGTTGACAGCAAAGAAATGTGTATAACTGTCGCTAATGAAAAGTATTTAAAACTTATAAATGGCAAGTAAAAACATTATTACTGAAATATCCGACAAACTGAGATGGAAACATATGTTTAAGAGACAATTTTGCGAGATTGTACGGCAATAATTTATGGCATGCATTTTCCCATTTTGACGTTTTGTGAACAATTTTACTCACAGAATAAATACGATTCGATCCTACTTGCATACTTTCTACCAACTAACACACATAACAAAAGCGATCTGTATCAAGTGATAAAGATTGATCCGATCTTACAGATCAATCTATCTGAAACGAAAAGTATATGAATCCCACATTTAACCTGGATTTCAGTAGTGTCTTACTCCTGAACATCATACTTCTCCCGATAACAATTGAGTCATGCCGATCATCTATCTAACTCCGTTCTCGAGATTAACGAAGGACACGCAAACAGACAGACGACAATGGAAATATATAGTTCTGAAATTTGAAAACTGCAATCCAATAATATATGCAGACGCTTTTTCCAAGTAAAAATAGCCACGATTACTAAAATATTCCGTACACAAATAGTCTCAGCAACGAAATTCAGCGTACTAATAGTTGGAGAATAAGGTATGCAGTCATAATCTCGTCCACAGCACAAGAACAAGAACAATACATTTATTCTATTCTAGTCTGACGTACTGACAGCCGGTCAGCAGATACTGCAAAGCGTCATTCTACCGTTCTGGAGAGCCCGGATCGAATTCGGAAAATCGAAAATACCAAGAATTTTTCTGTGTCCTGAATATTGTTGGTCTCCATCCTCACCACCTCCATTGTGGGTATGGCCGAATCCATAATGGGTATAGGAAATTGAAGTGGCGGCAAGAGCCAAAGTATAAAAAAATTAAAAGTATTGGTTATTAATAAAGTGCCAGGGTGAATTTAGGGAATGCAGCTGAGCTCTGTATACCCTTAAATTCATCATTTAAAGGGTTTATACCGCATTAAATTGTACCTCTCTAAAGATTTCTGAATCCACTATTGACTGTGTCCAAATGGATAAAACCACTAAACACTGGTCGAGGGTTTGCGTCTTACCAATGGTCTGTTAACGTAAAGTTTTCCGAATTTGTTTCACTTAGAAGGTTCTCCTGGTGGGTCTTGCTTTATTCTATTCCATCACTCCACTCGTTATTAATAAATTTGCTGGTAAGAAGTGTTCATTCTACTTGTATTTTAAATTTCGTTCATCAGATTCCTCGTTAAGATTAATTTATCTACGTTAAAATATTTTAAAAAGTACCGAAATAACGTTTATTTAAAAGCTCTTTCTATCTACAAAATCTAAAATAAATTCCTCAGAACTTCGACGTAAGTCTTTTTTTGTTGAAATTCTTTAGTAATTCTCTCATTTTTTTTAATTTGTAAGAAATTTTACACAATATAAGGCTCGTGTAGTATCCATTTTTATTAATCCCCACGGTCATATTCAGTGATAACGTCAATAATAAAGTACTGATAAGCATGATGACCAAAGATACAGCACGAGATTACTAGAATCTGAACTGGATTCGATCTTGGATTCCCCATTGTTGAAAGTGATACCTTATCTCCATCTAATCAATAGTTACTCGTTAACACGAGCAGATAGGATAAACGTGTTTCAATAATGTGCTAACCAGAGACGTGGGTCTTTATCCCAAACAAAATTTAATTATTTTCATTGGGATAAGTACCCACGTCTCTGGTTAACTTGTGTTTGAAATTTAATTATCAATTTTAAAANCCCCCCCGCGTTGGAATTTCGAAAAATCCTTTCTTAGTGTGCGTTTCCATGACGTACCCTAACTGTGTACCAAATTTCACCTCTTTAGGTTAAGCGGTTTGCTCTGGGCGATGATGAATCAGTGAATGAATGAATGAGTCAGTCAGGACAAGCAATTTTATATATTTAGATTTCTATATGTATAAGTATATATTTCTATATGTACAAGTCAGATATGACATTTTTCTTGAAAAATTTGCCATTGTATAGATATATTTTACTTTTAAAAATTATATTTTAGAGCAGGGGTTTCCAACCTGGTTGCTAGTGACCCTTGAGATGTCATTCGATTTATCTACACAGTCGATAAATTACTGTGGCTCGTTTGGGGTCGAAGATTTATTTTTATTTTATTTAAATACACCTCAACCAAACGGAATAAGGTACTTCCAAACATATTCTGTTCGGTAAGATTTTACTTTAATATTTGTTTTATAAAAAATATCTTTGTAAAAAGGTGTTTTTAGAATATGAAATTTAACATAGAGTTGTTGTTTTGCTAATGGATAAGTTTAATGGCAAAGAATTTCTATAGGGACTATCAAATGACACATACCTTATCGAAGGTAGAGTGGTTAACTTTTCTTGCTTCAATGCTACCCTCCGTCGATGGATCGCTCCAATGTCTGCTAATAGTCCTGCTGCCTAGAGAGATACAAAACGAATTTGATTTGATTTCATAATAAATGATTCCAAAATAATCGTTTCATTGAAGTTTTGGATCACTTCTTAACAACTGTGCACCGATATGAAAATCGATGCTCTTTATTTATCTTTGATGTATAATGCAACATCGGGATTAACTTGCTTACAAGAAGGTTGCTCTTGATAAGATATTTACATGAAGAAAATAAGGACTTAAGAGGATTTCCCCCCTCTTATTAAAGACAAGAATTCTTTATATTTTACGACAAACAGCACTGTAGTAAGATGATCTTTAGTAAATTATATTATTTTTTTTTCGTGTTTTCTATTATGAATTTAGTCGTTTTTCCATGGTAAAGTAAGTTGTANAATGATAAAAATGTGATATATAGGTAACATAATGATAATTTTTTAATAAATTATTTTAGTAACAAGTTAAGAATTTATATTTCCTCTTTCTCATCCTCTCACTCTTCCTTTCTTTAGCCAAGACCATTGAATAGGATCAACCCCCTAATATATAACATAAAAACATGAAAATAAAATATAAAAACATGTAAAATAAATAACAAAGCATAACATAACATAACATGAAAACATATAAAATAAAATATAATGCTTAGAAATATGTTACTTGTACGAGAACATTTATAAGTTTATGTAATAAATAAAGGTTTCTACATATTAAGTTTATTTATATATTTAAAATTATAGTGAATGAATTTACTATTCCTGAGTTCACTACATGATAGACTAATATATATAATTTTTATTCTATTCATATGAAAATTAGATATTTGAGACAAAGTATAGTAGAGATGCATTCCATATTCTCAATATAAGTTACTGTATAAGTTCTAATAAATTACTCAAGATATACATGTTAAAAAATAAAATATTTATATAACCTATGCTCTTAGTCATTCGGCGAATATTTTGTAAATATTTTATCATTTGCAATGTATCGAGATCATAAAAAATACATTCATTCCAAAAATTTGATACATAACTGTCCACTTTATTTTGATTTATATTACTTCTAATGAAAGTTTTCTTTGGAAGTGATAATAGGATTTACTACTACCGAAAATTACTGACTTTTATAAAATATATTTTTACTACTTTTACCGAATTCATTTATTCACTTTATAGCTTTGCATTAGATTTTTTAAAAGAGGGAAATATATAAATATATATATATATACTTTAAAAGTTATCCACTTTCTAACAATAAAAATATATAAGAAAAGTTTTTCTGTTGGTAAATTGGTCAATTTTGGTTAAAGGAAACCATTTTTTCGGTTGAAATTTGGTTTTGTTTGAAGTTCTAAATTACCCCGAATTTCATTCAAAAACTGTTTATTATAACGTGAATAAGTTCCCAAAGTTTAGGAAAATACTATATTATTTTAAATTTATTATTTTATAAGATAAATTACTTTATAAATCAAGTTAACTGACGTATATTTTATTTAAATACACCTCAACCAAACGGAATAAGGTACTTCCAAACATATTCTGTTCGGTAAGATTTTACTTTAATATTTGTTTTATAAAAAATATCTTTGTAAAAAGGTGTTTTTAGAATATGAAATTTAACATAGAGTTGTTGTTTTGCTAATGGATAAGTTTAATGGCAAAGAATTTCTATAGGGACTATCAAATGACACATACCTTATCGAAGGTAGAGTGGTTAACTTTTCTTGCTTCAATGCTACCCTCCGTCGATGGATCGCTCCAATGTCTGCTAATAGTCCTGCTGCCTAGAGAGATACAAAACGAATTTGATTTGATTTCATAATAAATGATTCCAAAATAATCGTTTCATTGAAGTTTTGGATCACTTCTTAACAACTGTGCACCGATATGAAAATCGATGCTCTTTATTTATCTTTGATGTATAATGCAACATCGGGATTAACTTGCTTACAAGAAGGTTGCTCTTGATAAGATATTTACATGAAGAAAATAAGGACTTAAGAGGATTTCCCCCCTCTTATTAAAGACAAGAATTCTTTATATTTTACGACAAACAGCACTGTAGTAAGATGATCTTTAGTAAATTATATTATTTTTTTTTTCGTGTTTTCTATTATGAATTTAGTCGTTTTTCCATGGTAAAGTAAGTTGTAAGAAGGATAAATTAAAAAAAAAATTATTTGCATTTTAGATTAGTATTGAAGTAACATTTTTAATATAAAGAAAAATGTATATGATATATCCTGAAGTTATATATATATATATATAACAACATAACGAAGAATAATAGATATTTTCTTGTCATAAATCTAAATATATATATACTAGCTGTTACCCGCGACTTCGTCAGCGGAGGTTTTGCAAGCAAACCCCATTTACATCCAATATTTCAATAACCATAGTAATTGTTATATAACACCTACCGCTGAAGAGAATTGCCGAAAATCAAACGAACTATTTTCAATTTGATCAATTTTCTGAAACGTTTNAAGTATTTTAAAAAATAATTAAATTTTATAAAATTTATTTTTTTATTTTTTTATTTTTTTAATATAAATAAAAATAGAATTGAAAATTTTTAATTTGAAAGAATTTTAAATTTGCTTCCACTTTTTTGAATTTTTTTTATTTTATTCTTTCTTTTAAATAAATAAGTGCAACTTTTTTAAATTAAAAATATTAAAAAGTGTTTTATTTTCTAAAATTCAAATATTATTTTGAATAATTTTTACAAATAATTATTTAAATTATTATTTTTTTTAGTGTTAATAATTCCAAATTTCGAATTAATGACGTTTAAAATAATACATTTTTATTAAATCAACGAATAGATTAAGTTTCATAAATATAATGAATATTTTAATATAATAAGATTAAGATCAGGAAGAGAAATTTCATAAAGCATTTAAATAATAATAATAAAAAAATTAAAATAATAATCGATAGAATTAAATGAAAAAACTAATTTGTTATGACCTACATAAGAAAGTAATTTATACGATTTACATTAATGAATATCAATATGATTTACAAGTAATAATCCAACTTAAACGAAATGAATGTTAAGTTTTTCTAAGAAAGAGCACATTTATCTTCGAATAAACTTTCAAATTATCCATGTAAACCTTTCGAAATTCTTAAATTTTTCTATATTATAATTGATGACACTTTACGTCTTCAAATAATTGATTCAATGTGTACTAAAAGTCAATATCTATATCCTCTTTAACTATTGTGCTAATATTTTAAATGAGTTCCAAGAGTCGCCATCAATATTATATATGGAAGCATTCACCTTACGAGTGTCATTTTGCTGGAACAATAAGATTCGACCGTCTAAGAAATATTTTTCTCTACTGGATCGATTCCTTTCTGTGTAACAAACAGAAAATATGACGTCAGTCCTGACGTCATTCAGGCTATTGGCAATGGATTTCCTTTTCCCACAGGAATAAAACATCCCAAGCCGTTAAGTGATTCTCTTAATTCCTTTTCTTACTTCTTTCTATACTAATCTCTTAAAGCAGTTTCTTCTCTCCCCCTTTTTTTTTAAAGTTAGTTACAGTTATAAATTAATAATCAGAACACTAAAAGGACGTGTATGATTTAGTTTAATTTATGATCAATACTTATAATCATATGCAAAATGAGTTATTTTAAGAGCTCTCATACATTTTGAGTGTTTTAGTTAATGTTTATATTACACCTATAGTTACATGTAAATATGAAAGCGGTGTAATGATTGGATTATATTTACTTACAGTTCATATCCACGCAACATAATCTTGTGAAATGTCACTAAACATTATAATTGTATTAATCACTCGACTATCATATGTTTAGATTGAATGTCACACTTAATCATTATTAAGTATCTTTCATTTTACAAGAGGGCTTAAACCGACGACTTTCTTATCAGAATAATTATATATTTTTCATTAAATAATTGATTTTTTAAAATTCATTTTTACCTGCATAGTTAGAGCGACTATCTGTATTTGTTGGTATGATATCTGGTCCCTTTTCTTCACCTTCTAACATATCATCCGTATCTTTTTTCAATGGAGTTTCGCATCTAAAAAAATCGAATTGATAGAAATATAATCTATCAANTATTTTAATATAATAAGATTAAGATCAGGAAGAGAAATTTCATAAAGCATTTAAATAATAATAATAAAAAAATTAAAATAATAATCGATAGAATTAAATGAAAAAACTAATTTGTTATGACCTACATAAGAAAGTAATTTATACGATTTACATTAATGAATATCAATATGATTTACAAGTAATAATCCAACTTAAACGAAATGAATGTTAAGTTTTTCTAAGAAAGAGCACATTTATCTTCGAATAAACTTTCAAATTATCCATGTAAACCTTTCGAAATTCTTAAATTTTTCTATATTATAATTGATGACACTTTACGTCTTCAAATAATTGATTCAATGTGTACTAAAAGTCAATATCTATATCCTCTTTAACTATTGTGCTAATATTTTAAATGAGTTCCAAGAGTCGCCATCAATATTATATATGGAAGCATTCACCTTACGAGTGTCATTTTGCTGGAACAATAAGATTCGACCGTCTAAGAAATATTTTTCTCTACTGGATCGATTCCTTTCTGTGTAACAAACAGAAAATATGACGTCAGTCCTGACGTCATTCAGGCTATTGGCAATGGATTTCCTTTTCCCACAGGAATAAAACATCCCAAGCCGTTAAGTGATTCTCTTAATTCCTTTTCTTACTTCTTTCTATACTAATCTCTTAAAGCAGTTTCTTCTCTCCCCCTTTTTTTTTAAAGTTAGTTACAGTTATAAATTAATAATCAGAACACTAAAAGGACGTGTATGATTTAGTTTAATTTATGATCAATACTTATAATCATATGCAAAATGAGTTATTTTAAGAGCTCTCATACATTTTGAGTGTTTTAGTTAATGTTTATATTACACCTATAGTTACATGTAAATATGAAAGCGGTGTAATGATTGGATTATATTTACTTACAGTTCATATCCACGCAACATAATCTTGTGAAATGTCACTAAACATTATAATTGTATTAATCACTCGACTATCATATGTTTAGATTGAATGTCACACTTAATCATTATTAAGTATCTTTCATTTTACAAGAGGGCTTAAACCGACGACTTTCTTATCAGAATAATTATATATTTTTCATTAAATAATTGATTTTTTAAAATTCATTTTTACCTGCATAGTTAGAGCGACTATCTGTATTTGTTGGTATGATATCTGGTCCCTTTTCTTCACCTTCTAACATATCATCCGTATCTTTTTTCAATGGAGTTTCGCATCTAAAAAAATCGAATTGATAGAAATATAATCTATCAAAAAAATATATTTATATTTTATTTATTTTATACATTATATTAATTCATAATAAATTATTCATAAATCTCGAAATATGTTTACGCGTGTCTTAAATTGTTTATATAAATTTCTAATGGAGTGTATTAAAGATTAAAATGAGTAATCCCATTTATAATCTATACATTGGAAGATTAGAAACATCAAGTACGAATTATAGTTATAATTTATTATCATAAGTTTATATTATGCGTAATAATAATTTATATGATCCGCCATGTATATAAATAATTTAATTTTTTATAAATTCCCAAGATGTTTTAATAGTTACAACCTAAATGTAATGTGTAACTTTTTATGTCAATTGGATTTTAAAAAATAAGCAATTCAACGTAAACATAATGCTGAAAAATAAGTATAAAATAATTTTAAATATAAAAAAAATAGAAAATAAAATTAAATTTTTAATATTTTAAATAGGAGTAACTTAATATTTTTCTATCTTTCCAAGCTATTTTTGCTATTAAGACCCTCCGTAATAGTTTTAAAAACTATTAAGAAGTGTCCTTACATTTTAAAAACCTTAAGGTTTCTTACATTAAAAAACGTATAGTCATACAGACGAACCAAATTTAAACATTTGTTTCTATATAAAATGTAATCTTTAAAAAAAATAAAGGTTAATATAATTACAATTTCCTTTAAATAAACGAAATAATTACAAAATAACGTGCCTGAATACATTAAAATTCTGTTATATAAATTCTTTTTTTATAGATACATTTACAAAATATTTCTAAGTTAAATTATTGAAGTTCAGGAATAGACATAGGAGAAATCTATGATAGCTTTGCCTATTCACAAAATTTTACACAGGAAGGCATCACATCAGTCAAAAGCAGGGAGGCTGTCCTGAACAGATGCTCCATATTTGTTCGATAAATAGGAGTGGTGCTTATGGCTATATATCAATCAGATGGGGGTTATGTGAATGGCTTAATAACTTAAACTATAGGAACAATAATGAATTTTTATTGTCAATAATTTGAACAATAATAATAATAAATGAAAATTTATCATCATCAATGATAATATAAAGCATTAGAGACTTGACACAAATGTGTCTCTAATGCTTTATATATATCTAAATGCATTAAGAAAATAATTTGTGACTAAATTATTCTAGCAAATATTCAATTTATTTATTTATTTAAATCAAGAATCGTATTAAACAATACATTCATCATTCTTCATACAATATATTTAAGTCATTTATTATAATTTTTCTAGTAATAAAAGATTTAAATAATAATTATATCTTTTATTTAATGAAATGTAATTATAATTTATTATATTTTAATTAAAATATTTAAGAAATATTTCAAAAAGTTTTTATTTAGTTAATTAAAATTTAATTAAAATTGGTATATTGATGCATAATAATAATAATAATAATAGTGACTATTTACTTAAAATTATAAGTTTAAATATATAATAGAATTTTTTAATATTTAAAG